CGGGGGCTCCTCCCCGACAGCGCCGTCTCCAGGCCGCCCCGTTCGGGAGACGGCGCCGCCGTCACCGCTGTCCAGTCTGTGGCAGCCTCGCTTGGCAGCCTTTACCCCGGAAAAGACCTTCACCCTGGCACCTAGGAGGACCTCACCCAGGGTGGCCCGTCAGCCGCACGCGGGCCTGTCTCCAGAGTGACCTGGGAGGGGGCTGGAAGCGCAGACGAAGGGAGAGTCGGGGGAGTCGGTTCACAGGCAGCATACTTGACCTGTGAGGGGCCCTCGGTGGGAAGGTGGGTGAGGTAGCCTCCCACTGGAGCTTAGGGCTGGCACCCAGCGAGGGGCAGCAGGACCACGTGGCTGGCAAGGAGCGTTTAGGGCTGAGAGCCAGCCACCTAATGTTGGTGCCCTGCCCCATCCCAAGGAGGACACGCAGCCCGGAGCCCCGTGGGCCGGGGCAGCCACCTTTTTTCTCAGGATCCAGGAGACTGACGTGACCACATGCAGAAATGAGCCAGGAGGACACAGAGACTTAAAATGCTTTAAGAAACAATTCTAAGTTTCCGCAACTTGGTACCCCATCTGCTTCCTCCTTTACAGCCACCTGTGGAGTGAGGAGACAAGGCAGGGAAGCAGCACCTTGCCCTTCAAGCTTTCGTTTTTTTCCCCAGAAACTGGGAAGGGGTGGGCGGGGGCCTGTGATGAGTGGACTTCACCCTTTCGGTCTTCAGCTTCAGACACGGCTGTCCACTCCTTGCCTGTCCCCACAGCTCTTCCTGCAGACTCTTTTTTCCCGAGGATCCTGTTAAGATTGTCCGGGCCCAAGGGCAGTACATGTACGATGAACAAGGGGCAGAATACATCGACTGCATCAACAATGTGGCTCACGGTCAGTATCATACCTCCGGTTGGCAGGGCAGGAGAGGAGGCCAAGGCTGTGAGCCTGGTCCCAAGATGACCTGAGATTGCCTGAGATTACCGAGAGGTGTGGAGAACCTGGGTTGAGTTGAGGCACCATCAATATGCAGAGGAGGCTCAGCCTTTGCAATATAGCTGTGGAATTCTGCAGTCTGGAGCTGTGCTAAACCAGGCAGGAGTCAGCAATCTAGGTCTGTGGGTCTAGTTCCACTTGGGACTGATGATGAGCTCACAGAGTGGCAGATGGCCCAGCTGTGACCAGCGGCGTAGCACAGTGCTGGCCAAGTGCTGGGGTCAAGGCGGCGCTTCAGCCTCACTGGCCATCTCAGGTGCTGCGCAAGGGAGCTGAAGCAGGAATTCAGTCCTCCTGATGAGGCTGCCAGAGCTGACGGAAAGAAAGGGAGTCTGAGACTCAGCAGGGACATGGAAGATTAATAAAGTTGAGATTTAAAAAAAAAAAAAAAAAGCAGAGACTCTAGTCTTAGACTGCTTGGGCTCAAATCCCCTACTTACTTTGTGATCTCAGGCAAGTTACTTAATTCTCTGTGCCTCCGTTTGCTTATCTGCAAAAGACATAATGCTACTAGGTAGCCACTTGAAGGTATTAGGAGAATTCAATGTGTTAATGTATGTAGCTTGCTCTAAATGTGCCTGGCACATGGTGAGCTCTCAGTACATACTCACTGTTACTATCCTTGGCCTTTGGCAGTCAAGATTACCACCAGCCCCCTTAGCTGGTGTAGTGAAAAAGTTGATAGTCACTCTCTACCCCACCTTTGTCATGCAAGCCTCAAAAGGCCTTACAGCCTGGGCAATATAATGAGACCTTGTCTCTATAAAAAAACTTAAACATTAGCTAGGCATGGTGACTGGTGTCTTAGTCCCACCTACTCAGGAGGTTGAGGTGGGAGGATCACTTGAGCCCAGGAGTTTGAGGCTGCAGTAAATGCCATGATCACACCACTACACTCCAGCCTGGGTGACAGCGTAAGGTCCTATCTCAAAACAAAAAAAAAAGGCCTCCTTAAAGACACGGGCTTTCTAGGCCAGGCGCAGTGGCTCACGGCTGTAATCCCAGCACTTTGGGAGGCCAAGGCGGGCTTGCTGACCTCGAGGTCAGGAGATGGAGACCATCCTGGCTAACACAGTGAAACCCCATGTCTACTAAAAATACAAAAAATTAGCCGGGCGTGGTGGCGGGCGCCTGTAGTCCCAGCTACTCGGGAGGCTGAGGCAGGAGAATGGCGTGAACCCAGGAGGTGGAGCTTGCAGTGAGCCGAGATCACACCACTGCACTCCAGCCTGGGCGACAGAGCGAGACTCTCAAAAAAAAAAAGACATGGGCTTTCTAGACAGGGTTCTTCTGCTGAAGAACATTTCCTTCTGCCAGAATCTCAGGAACTCCTGGATCTGCCTTTCCAGAACTAGCTTCTCTCTCCCTGCTCTGCCTTCAGACTCCCCTCTTTCTACCTCTCTCTCTAGAACTGCGTCTCTTCTGGCTGGGTTTATAGCTTGGGGCTGGGGGAGGCCCAGTGGGACTGGCTGAGCGGAGCCAGCTGTGTGATGGAGGTGGCCTTCTTCCAGTCGGGCACTGCCACCCTGTCGTGGTCCGAGCAGCACATGAACAGAACCAGGTGCTCAACACCAACAGCCGGTACCTGCACGACAACATTGTGGACTATGCGCAGAGGCTGTCGGAGACCCTGCCAGAGCCGCTCTGTGTGTTCTATTTCCTGAATTCCGGGTAAGTGACTGTGGCCAGCCCCCGGGAAGAGGGTGAGATGATAACAAAGAGAGTTGCTCACATGGGCCCGGTGTAGTGTAGCCGACCGAGTGTGGACTCAGGGAGAGGCAGCCCCCATTGCGCCAGGCTCCTGAGATTCCCGGCTCTAGGCCCTGATGCTTTTTCTGTTGGATCCAGTTTCCTTGTCTCTTACTGAAGGATGTTATTAATTCCTTTCTAGGATCATTGCTGGGGCTTAGTGAGGTAATACATTTCTTTATTTCTGCCTTATGGATACAGCCAAAATCCCTGTCTGTGGGTTGCTCAGTAAGGAACAAAAACACCAAGTGATTCTTCAAAGAAATACAGAATTCCAAGGAGGGCTCTGGAGGAAGCGTACAGGGTATCATGAGGCCTAGAAATAGTGAGGGGACCTGACCTATTCTGGGGTTACAGGGAAACCTTCCCTGAGGAAGGGATGTTAAGCTAAGAGCTGACTGGGAGAGAACTAGAAGAGGAGGAAGGAAGGGTGCTGCCACTGCATCAGAAGTCTCATCAAGGCCGGGCGCGATGGCTCATGCCTGTAATCCCAGCACTTCGTGAGATCGAGGTGGGCAGATCACCTGAGGTCAGGAGTTTGAGATCAGCCTGGCCAATGTGGTGAAACCCCATCTCTACTAAAAATACACAGAAATTAGCTGGGCGTGGTGATGGGCGCCTGTAATCCCAGCTGCTCAGGAGGCTAAGGCAGGAGAATCGCTTAAATCTGGGAGGCGGAGCTTGCAGTGAGCCAAAATTGTGCCACTGCACTCCAGCCTGGGAGACAGAGTGAGGCTCTATCTCAAAAAAAAAAAAAAAAAAAATTAGTCTCGGCAAAACTCTTGTCAAAGTTGGTCACCACACACAACTGCCCATGCAAAGGCCCTGAAGCAGGAAGGGGTATGGTACCCAGCACACTTGAGGAACCGAAAGAGGTCCACTAAGGGAAAGCAGAGGCTGTGAGCTGTTGGGAGGGAAGCAGGGCCCATCACCTAGGGCCTTCTCCGCCAAGTGACTGTCTTTATCCTAGGAGCACTGGGAAGCCATCGGAGGCTTTAATCAGGAAATGATGTCTTACAGCGAACAGAGTGCAAGAGTGGACACTGTTAGGTGCCAGTTCAGTGGCCAGGTGAAAGGTTATGGTAGCTCACACTAGGATCAGCAGTGGAGACAAACAGGCAGGTGACTACAGCGTATCTGGGAGAGAACATTCCAACGAATCGTAGGTGGTGGCGTTGAATTATAGTAATGATTATTGTTGCCATTCACATAGTACAGTCATCTCTGCCCCCCAGATAATTTCTAGGAAGTGGAATTCACCATCTTCATTTTGCAGATGGGGTAGTAGCAATTCAAAGAAAGGAACTTGAGCCCAACATTTCCCATGTCAAGAGCTGGAGCCTCTGGAAACAGCAGGGAGCTGGTGCTTCCTCAGTGATGGTGGAGGAGGGGCATTCTTATGCCACCAGCTTTATTCTGTGTGGATTCCAGTGACTTCCATGTTGCCAAATCCAAAGCAGTCTCTTTGCTGCCTCGTCTTACTCTGTCCCGGCAGTAATGGACAGTTACCACTCTCCAGAAGTGCTGTCTCCTCTTGCTTCCAGGGCGCTGTGCTCTCCTGTTTTCTGCCAGTTTCTCTAGCCACTCCTTCCCTGTCTTCTTGGCTGATTCCTCCTCTGTTCCTTGGGGCTGGTCTTGGGCCACTTTTCTCTGCGCCCTCTCCTCAGGTGATCTCTTCCATTCTCTTGGTATTAAATAGCATCCATGTGCTGGTGACTCGCAAACTTTTTTGAGCCCAGACATTTCGCATATGTTCCAGCTTGAGGTTCTAACTGCGCCTGTGACATCTGACACACATCTCCAGCTTCATGTGTCCACAAGGCAAGAAAGGGTTGATTGGACCGTGGTACTGTTCTGCCTAACCTGCCCAAGAAGACTGTCCCCACTCACCCCTGCTCATCTTGCCTTGTAAAGGGCATCACCACCTGTATCTGCTTAAGGCAGAAACCACATGCTCCCCAGTCCTGCATCAATCCTGCCTCCTCCATCTCCATGATGCCTCTTAACTCCCTCCACCTCTCCATCTCCATGGTCACCACTGGCTCTCACCTGGCATCCTCCTCCTTGGTCTTCTCACTTCCACTTTTATTCTTGTCGACTCCATTAGACACAGCCAGAGGCCACCTCTTAAAATGGGAGCTGACTCATGTTCCTTTTCTCATTAAAACTCTTCAGTGGCTTCACATGGCACTGAGAAGAAAACTCAGGCTCCTTCCCAGCCCTGTGCACCTGGCCCCCGCATGTCTCCCCGTTCCCTCTCCTACCCTGCCCTCCTTAGGCGCTGGCCTCCATCATCTTCTCCTGGTTCCCTGAGCATACTGAGCTCTTTTCCTTCACAAGGCCTTGGTGCGTGCTGCTCCATCTGTCTGGAAACTTCTCCCTCAGGACTCAGTACACGAGTTACCTCCCCATAGACGCTTCCACTGACCCTCTATGTTGGTCTACTCTGGCTGCCATAAGAAAATAACAGAGACTGAGTGGCTTAAACAAGAGACATTTATTTTCTCACAGTCCTGGAGGCTGGAAGTCTAAGATCAAGGTGTTGGCAGGGTTGGTTTCTTCTAAGGCCTCTCTCCTTGGCTTGGAGATGGCCCTGCTTGGTCTTCTGTGTGTAAGTGTCCCTGGTGTCTCTTTGTCCAGATTTCCTCTTATAAGAACACTGGTTAGATTGGATTAGGGGCCCCCTGACAGCCTCATTTTAACGGAATCACCTCTCTTATCTCCATATCTATTCACATACAGGCCATTCTGAGCTACTGGGGATTAGAGGTTCAACACACAAATTGGGGGTGGGGGGTGGCAGCTCAGCCCGTAAACATGCTCCCTCTGGCTTTCTCCCAGAGCATCCATCATAGCACTTAGAAAAAGGATCACTTTTTCTTTTTGGCTTTTGTAGTGGTATATATATGTGTACACACATATATATATAAATAGACACACATATATACATATACACACATTCATTTTTATTCACAGTTCCTGGCTCATAACTCCCACAGCCCTTGTTACACTCTTTTGTTACAACATTGGATATCAGGCCTCAGGAGACAATCACTCTAACCTTCTCCTGCCTTCCTTTCACCTGCCCAAGGCGGGACTCTAATCTTCCCCACCTTTCTGATGGTGGGTCATAAAACTCTCATTCCAGAGAGGGTCCTACCCCATGTCCTGGGAGAAGGAATGCTGCTGTCATGAAGCTTCCATAAAAACTAAGGGGACTGGCGGTGGCTCAAGCCTGTAATCCCAGCACTTTGGGAGGCCAAGACGGGCGGATCACGAGGTCAGGAGATCGAGACCATCCTGGCTAACACGGTGAAACCCCGTCTCTACTAAAAAATACAAAAAACTAGCCGGGCGAGGTGGCGGGCGCCTGTAGTCCCAGCTACTCGGGAGGCTGAGGCAGGAGAATGGCGTAAACCCGGGAGGCGGAGCTTGCAGTGAGTTGAGATCCGGCCACTGCACTCCAGCCTGGGCGACAGAGCCAGACTCGAAAAAAAAAAAAAAAACAAAAAACTAAGGGGACTGGATTCAGAGAGCTTCCAGATAGCTGAACATACACAGGTTCCTGAAGGGTGGTGCGCCCAGGGCAGGCACGGGCAGCTCCATGCCCTTCCTTCATATCTCCCCCATGCATCTCTTCATCTGTATCTTTTATAGTATCCTTTATAACAAACCAGTAAATGTATTTCCCTTAGTTTTGTGAGTCACTGCAGCAAATTAATTGAACCTACAGAGGGAATTGTGGGAACCTCAACTTGAAGCCAGTCGGTCAGAAGTTCCAAAGCGGGGCTGGGTGCGGTGGCTCCCGCCCATAATCCCAGCACTTTGGGAAGCCGAGGCAGGAGAATTAGGAGTGTGAGACCAGCCTAGCCAACATGGTGAAACCCCATCTCTACTAAAAATACAAAAAGTCAACTGGGCGTAGTGGTGGGCGCCTGTAATCCCAGCTACTCAGGAGGCTGAGGCAGGAGAATCCCATGAGCCTGGGAGGCAGAGGCTGCAATGAGCCAACATCAGCAGCTGCACTCTAGACCGGGCAACAGAGTGAGACTCTGTCTCAAAAAAAAAAAGTTCCAAAGGTGGCCACCACGGTGGCTCATGCCTGTAATTCCAGTACTTTGAGGTTGAGGTGAGAGGAATGCTTGAGCCCCCAGTCTGGGCAATATAGTGAGACCCCATCTCTACAAAAAAAGAAAATTAGTTCCAGAGGCCGACTTGCTACTGGTGCCCAGGGGGCTGTGGGGCAGTCTTGGGCACTGAGCCCTCATGCTGTGGGATCTGATGCTGCCTCCACGTAGAGAGTGTTGCAATTGAACTGGAGGACACCCAGCTGGTGTTGCTGCAGTCTGATTGCTTGCCTGCTGGCAGGGAGAAATCCTTACATAGTTTTTGGAGTCACAGAAGTCTTCTGTGTTGATTGTTGTAGTGTGAAAGCAGAGGAAAAACAATGGTTTGAGTTTTTTCCAAACAAGTTTCATGACACATACGAGAATGTAAATTCCAGGAGAGCCAAGGCCGTGTGTGTTTT